TAAAGATGTTGGAGGCAAGGTTTGAGACAGGATGTGGATTCCATTGTCCTTGGTGCAGCCCAATTTATTAAGCAGGACACTTTCTCCTTCACGGAAGGGAGTGAAAGAAAACGTACCTGGCACAGAGGACAAAGGTACTACATGCATCTGGCAGTATCATTGTAACTCTGTGACATTAAGCCAGGTATTTTGTAAATACGTAGGCCAAGTTTGAGATTTCCCCCCCCCGTTTGTGTTTGCAAAGGAGAGTTATGTGAGACTTGGCTCAGACTGTGCAGGAGCTACAACTTCTGTGTTACAGAGGCAAGAATACAGGAGACTGGCTGGGCTGAGCTAGAGAATGTGATGACAAGGATAAAAAGCCTCTTTTTTGTATAATACTGTTCCTAATTTTATTGCACTCTTCCTTAAAAAGGACGTGGGGTTATTCACATCTCTGAAGTTAGCAGTGCTTTCCTTGAGGCTTGTAAGAAAGATGTTTTATATCACTTCTTTCCAGAAGACTCCAGTTATGGAGTCTCGTTTGGCAGCATTGGAGTTAAGATTAGCACGCGTAGTTCCCTTAGTTCCCCCAGCGTTCGTGTATTCGTGACTTTTCTTGAGTGGGAGCTGTTCTCCCTGAGTCCCGAGTCTATGTTAAAGGCTTTCAAAAGTGAAGCAGATGCAAATGGGTAAAATGTCACTTTTCCAACAGAGAGCAGGCTGGCTGGTTTTTGCACTCAGTTGTTTCAGCGGGGCGATACGTGGTGCCGTGGTCCACCCATGCCCTTGCAGTTGCGGACTGCCCTCTGATAAAATCTCGGCTATGTGGAGAATTGTATTACTGTATTTTTCCATTAACCATTATTCATAATGTGGGGGGATATAAATTTTCTGGCCTTTAGTTAAGGGTTTCGATTTAGAAACTAGTGAGGCAAGGCCCTAGTACAGTGATTTGAGACACATTGAACTGATTCAGAGCTACGGCAACGCCCCTCCTCCCCAAAATGGAAATTTAAGTATTAAAATAAAAGGACAAAAGAAGGATGACTATAAAATAATTTCGTATTTCTCAAATCTGGGAAATTGCAAACATGTCATTCATAATTACCAGAAAAGGCAAAAGCAGAAAGCAGAAAAGTGTCTCTTCCAATGGGTACATTTTTTCTTTTAAAGCTATGGTAGTGTGGAATGCTGTATTGAAAAAGCTGTGTAGCCTCTGAATGCCTCCAGCAATAATGGAAAACGAATAATCATATTTTGCGATGAATATAAAAAACAATTGTTTCTCATAAGCAGGAAGGAACCATTTTTCGCAAGAGGGTGCCAGGGGAGGGATGAGGGATTAGACGAGCTAGTGGTCAAGGCTGTACTGTCCCTCAAATATTTATTTTTACATCAAGCGTTCTGACTCTCCCACCCCTGTGGGGGAGATGGGGTATATTTTAGATTATTAGAAAGTTTGTTATTTTTCTCCCCCCCGCCCCGCTCCTGCTTAGGCAGAATGGCTCAGACAAACCTCGATGGGGTCTCTGTCATCAGTCCTCCAGTAGCTGAAGCAGTGTCGGGATTTAACTGTTCTTCAGGTGTGCTTTCCATGCTGTCTGGTTCTGGGGCTTCAATCCTTGTCAAAACTGTTCCTTTATTCTTCCTGTGCTCCTCAGAGGTGTCAGATTTGCAGAGTTTGTGTTAAAACTGCAGGGATAGGTTTTGATCTTGCACATGTTGAGGTAGGGAGCTTGCGTGAGATCAGCCCAGAGCCCTTTTACCTATTCTAGAGTATTAACTCTCAGAATCAGTGAGAGCAGTGACCCACGTCCATGGGAGTGGGGACAATATCTGCAAATAGACACTGAGGTGGTATTCCTGTGCGATATTTCTGTTGTGGTATATCTTATGGCAGCCAGCTCCCCTCGCATTGCGTTGGCCTGGGATTAGCGTCTTGGGAAAGGAGATCAGCCGTCTCTAAGACGACTTGCTTCGCTGCTCGAACGCTTTCCGGGCTCCTTGCTGCCTGCTGCTATTTTCATCAGCATTCTGAGTGGGAGTTCGTGACGAGGTAATTTTATAGCGCTGTTCTGCGGAGAGATTTTGAAGTACATCTGCACGTAGGACGCTCTCTGATACACAGGTTCCACTTGCAGGCTGAGGAGATGAAGCAAGATTTGTAAGGATATGTTTTCCTTGGGTGTTTTTGATCTCAAAAGGGAGTCCCTGCTTTGGAAAGGTTGCATGCTTGTAGATGCATTAAGGCCCGATGGCATCGTGAAGGCACAAACTGTGGCATTTGTGTCTTTCTTCCGAGCTGTGACGGTGAGGAGAGGTAGAGCTGCATTTTGCAGCTGATGCTGAGCAGCGCATGGTCTGGGTGCTCTTTGTGAATGCCTTTCACCTCTCTCTCATCTGTGGGGTAAGTGCTGCACGGTAAAATCCGTCTCTCCCTCCGGCTGGTGAGAGATGGCTGATTTTTCTGATTTGATGCAGTTTTCAGTCTGAATTTCAGTAGAAGGGAAAAGTTGATATTTTTGGTGCTATTTTCCATGCTTTTCAACTGAGTATTTTTTGGTGCAGAGGAACATCTTTTAACTTTTAGTGAAAATGAGGCTGTTAGCATGTTAATTGTTCCTTGGTGGTTGGGGTTTTATTTTTTTTCTCCATTTGAAAGTGGGGTGAGGCTGGAAGCAGAGGAGGACTGTTATTCTGCCCAGACTTGGCTCCAAGTAACGAGCTCTGCTTACAGTCAACGGGTAGTTATACGTTCTGGTCACAATGAAAAGCTGGGAAACATCAGCATTTGCACTTGCAGTTTTTGTCTTTGTGAAGAGGGAATCCACGCTCCTTGGCCTCACACGCTTCCCTGACTGCAGAAAGCCTGAATGCATGGGCTTTGCATGGAGGATAAAGGAGGATTTCTGGCAAAAACAGTGGCAGGGGCAGGACCATGCTGGTGTTGGGGACATCCCTATGTAGTCTGTGCGCTGCCAAGCTGCCAGGGATTGGCATCTCCCTCGCGAGAGAACATGGGGATCTCGCTTGTTGTGGCTGTGACGGTTGTGCCGCGGTGGTGCCAGCGCTCGTGGTCAGCTCTGCGGCCTTGTCATGGCAGCATCCCTCAAAATCCACGTTATGAAGGGAATCCCAGCTGTGTGTGCCGGGATGCTGCCTTGCCCTGTCGCCTACCTGCGGGCTCCCTGCTGCGGCGTCTTCTGCCTGGTGATGATGCCTTGATGGCCGCTGTGGTCAAAGGGTAATTTTACCTTTGGCGGGAGAGATTTATTCCCCCGTGAAGTATTTTGGTTGTGCCGTGTGAGGGATTTGTGGAGCAGGGCAGGCTCTTCAACTGTGAGTTGAAAGTAGGGCCGGTTCGTGTCTGGGGTTTGGTGGGACTCATGCCAGTGGGCGTTTTTTGTTGTTGGCTCTTTAGGGTAAGAAGAGAAAGCTGCTGCTTCTGCAGATAAGCTGTTAGATCCCATTTATACTGTTAGATGTGCAAGCGATGCAAAGTGAAAAGCCAGAATCTCCTTTTCCTTAGCTTTTTCTTCACAGTACCTTTAGGTGATGCTTAGAACAACAGAGCTAAGCGGTTTTCGGAGCGGGTGTTGCATCCCCTTCTCCTCTTAAGTCTCATCTTCATAGTGTTGCTCTTTAATTCACCAGGGCACTGCAGCTATGTATTTTTTCCTAGGAATTCAGAGTCCTGATCATCAACAAAGATCCCATTGTACAAGGCATGGTACAGAATCAAGGAAAAAAAATATTCTTGCTGTGGATTTACTAATCGTCTAACAGCGGTGTCAGTGGAGGAAATTTCAGTATAGCACAGAGCCAAGACAGGTTGCTCTTAAGAGATGACGAGGATCAGTGTAGCTGTAATAGCCACCTAGATAAGGAGTGGGAGGTGGTCATCTCCATGCTGCTGTTACCTGATATATAAGCAGAGCTGCTAGTAGCTACCTGGGTTGTAACCGTGCACGGTCAAGTCTGCCACGTAGGCAAGCAGTAGTTTGCACCACAGAGCTGATGAGGCGAAGTAATCTGGGTGGGTAGGAGCAGAACATGGCATGCTTAGTGGCACCCAGGCAAAAGGCAAGGCACAGAGCAGCAATGGGTTTGAAGAGTGGAACAGAGCTTTGCTTGATAATTTTTTCTCCTGTTGTAGCAGTACCTCCCCTGGTATCACTGGGTGTTCACAAGGAAAACAGGGTCAGGAATATGCTGTCCTCTCTGCTTTTTCATTTTGTAGACCTTTGCCAGCGGAGAACTGAAAGGGGTGTTGTAAAAGAGAATACACATTTGCATGATAAAAATCTTGCTCTGTGAGAGATTTTAGAAACTGGGAAAAGGCTGCATATGAGAACATCCATAGGGCGCTCCCTGAGCAAATTAATAGGAGCCTGTGATGTCAGTGTCAAAACCCTACTGACAGGCTAATAAAACCGCTGATTATCCAGAAACTTGGCTTATCCAAAATGGGGTCATGTCATTTGGCCAGGACGAAGTGTATTAAACTAGCCAAACTCTAGTTTCTCCAAATGAATGTAATGTCCTCTATGTCATTTGGATGAATGAACTTCCACGGTGTCTGGCATGGGGGCTCTGTTGAGTGCCTCAGCACATGCACATTCTGAGGCTACTCGAGGAGCAGGAAATTAAAAAGCTTCCCTTGAATGCTGATTAGTGGTTCTACAGGCCAATAGCCATAGGACTATTTATTTATCGAGTTACTAATTTCTTAGGCTTTCCAACAATAATAGTTGAGCTTCCAATTATTTTTTTTCTTGAAATATTCTCTTTTAGTAGTGGTTAGCTGAAGTTGAGCAAAACAGAGGGAAAATTCTGTATTTTAAACCTCTAAAATTTGGGAGCAACACTAACAAGTATTTTTGTGTATAATTTTATGCACTATAAGTTCATATACTTCTTGTTTACGCTTTATTCTTAACTGAGCCTTTGTATGCTTGTAGGGGTTTGTGTATCGATATTATTTATATGTATTGTAAATCTAGGGTTATTAACATGTTAGAGCTTTGGATTTTGGTGTTATTTTACTCCAAGTTTCTGCTTCTTCAGAGTGTGAGAGTCTTAGCTTGTTTGCAAAACAAGATGTATTTCCAGCCTTTGGAATATCGGGAAAAAAATTGCTCCAAGCATATCCCAGAGGTCCAAAAATAAAATAAAATAAAAAAAGCTGCTGCTGTTAATCCTCTTAGATCAAATCCAGGCTCCAGTGGAAAAAAGTGACAAAACTTTCCTAATTCCAGTGGGACCAGGACTTCACTCCTGGTTTTTGGTGTTTTGTTTTTGTTGGGTTTTTTTTGTGGTTTTTTTTTTGCAGGCGGGAGTTTTTTAGGTTTTTTTTTGCTTGGTTTTTTTTGTTTTGTTTTGTTTTTTTTTTTTAAGCCAGTTTCAATAGAGCTAGTTTCTGATTTTGGAGCTCCTGAGTGGTAATTTTTAAATGCTTAGGGTTGTCAGTAATGTAAATGTGCAGGGATTAGGCTACTGTAATAAGAACCTTCAGAGGTTAAAGAAAACATTTGTTTTCCAGTAAGTGGCATGGTAAACACATACCATAATCTGTTCCAAAAAGCTCTTAGTCCTGAAACAGCAGGGTGTCCTTTCTAATAAATGTTATCTTTTTCCTTTCATGACTGCATAGATTATCCTTCACTCTATGCATAAATATCAGCCTCGTGTCCACGTCATCCGAAAAGACTGTGGAGATGATCTGTCCCCTGTCAAGCCTATCCCTTCAGGAGAAGGGGTGAAAGCCTTCTCCTTTCCAGAGACAGTTTTCACTACTGTCACAGCATACCAAAATCAACAGGTAACTTGAGCTTTTTGCTTAGCACTTCACAGGCTTTTCAGAGTAGACCAGGGAAGTCAGATATAGGAGAAAAGCAGATATGTTTATTATACCACTCATTAAGAAGCATTGTCTAAACTCTTTTCATATTACAAGTAGCTTTCACTAGTAGTAGTGCAGCAGCACTGGTAGGCTGTAACTGAGACTTCAGGCTGTGTGGGCTAGATCCTGCATATAAAAAGTCAGTCTTATTATGGAGATCACACAGTCTAAGTAGCATAGTTAATCGTGTCTTAATTATAGATACAGCATTGAAGCACAAGGCAAAGAGCAGTCTGATTTTTAAAGGTGTTTTTGTATCCTTGAGTGTAGATACATGCCTGGATAGAATTTTAAAAACACCGGTGTTCCTGACTCCAGTGGTTTCAGTACTCTAGGACCTTAACAGAAAAGCTGAGGTCTGAAGAAGGTTGCAGTCATTTTCATTAGCTACGTTCAGCGTATGTTATAAACCGCAATTTATGTCCAAATCATTGTCTGCACAGATTCAAAGTCAAAAGTAAACTGCAGGCTGTGTGACTCCGGAATTTGGACTTTATTACCACTTGTTTAAGTATCAAAGCGCATAGTGACACCATAGTGTTGTGATATTTTATTAATTCCACGTAAGCTATTTCAGCTATGTTTTGGGAAATTGTATATGCCTTTCTATCTTTACAAAGAAAAGAGCAGGAGAGCCATGTAAATACTGAAATACAATTATTTGGTACCTATAACATTTATTTAAATAAATTACAAGCATTTGGGCAGGAGTTTGCTCATTTGTTTTATGGAGGATAATAGCCTAGAGATAATATGTCTTCTCACATTTCCTTCTCGACCCACACAGAAATAATATTAAAATTAAATTTTATTGCAGTTAGGCAGTGTACTCTCCTAGGTGAAGAATGACATTTGCCAGGAGATTTTTCTCAAGAATTCCAGCCTGCCATTTGATAGCATTAAGTACCTACCATCTTCTCTGGGGATTTGCAGAAATGGTGATCGGAAGGCTGGCACCTACTTTGCTGTGATTCAGGACAACCATCTTAAACATGCAAATGTGAAGATGTTTCTACTCCACTGTTGGCTTGGTTCTGTCAGGAGAGGCATTTTGTGTGTTGCTTTGCTAAATTTGCAGGTAATAAATTCTCTAATCACATTCACAGATAACTCGTCTGAAGATTGATAGGAATCCGTTCGCCAAAGGATTTAGGGATTCGGGACGTAACAGGTAGGTGTTGGGGAAGGGGCTGGACTTGTTACTGCTGACAGAATCAGTTTGTGAAGGCTGGTCGAGGCGAATACCGGTGTTTATGGACAAATTAGTCTGAGAACTCCAACTCCTTGAGGGAGCACTTACATTTTGCAGTAGTGTTCCCTGTGGTGGGCTCCTGTTCCTGCTCCTCTGACCATCTAGGTGAAGAACAGGTTGGCACTTGGCTGGACTCAAGTGCTCAGGTTTCTTTTTGGTGGCTGCAAATGGAATGAATGTGTACTCGGGTCTGTGATTTTGGGCTGCTCCTGAAACCTCCTGTTTCTTCAGGCTGGAGACACAAATTGCAGATACCGGTGTCAAACGATAAGCCCAGGTTCTCTTGCATGTAAGTGGCATTTAGTATGGATGAATGGCTTGTTTTCTCTTAAAGGGGGAGAAACTAAGTCACCTCGTGCAGTAGCCTTATGTTAGTACGCTTGCCTAGGCGGTGGGAGACCTGTGTTCAAGTGTCTCTTCAGCCTCAGGGGCTTTAAATCCACTTCCTAGCTGAATGTCTTTCCTACTAGGCTATAGATGACCTCGAAACAAGCCTGGTTTCCACCTGCTCTGTTGCAGTTGGACTGATTAGTTGCTTGTTCTCTCTTGATCCTTGCATCTTTCAAAATAGCAATAGGGAATCTGAGTAGTGCAAAGTGGACACCTGGGTCCAGTCCCTGCTGCCAGTACTGATGAGGTATTTTATCCAAAGACTGTTTATTGTAAAATATATAAGCCTGTTACAAATTGTATGTTAAACCATTTCAGCTAAAAAAAGCAGCATTTAATTGTGGTGCACATTATACATCGGTTCCAGTGACTACATTGCTTTTGGTGTCCACAGCGGCTATATTTATGACCTAGCCTTGCAGAGAAAGGAGAAGACTGTGCTGGTAGGAATCCTCGGAGAGTATCTTTTGGTAGCTGCTTTGCTGAGTTTGTCTTTTAGCAGAGGCTATAGCCTTAAAGACTGTTTTGTGCTTTGACCTGAGTTACATAAATGCTGAGAGTGGACAGCAAAGAAGAGCAGTTTTTAGAAGATGAACAGTTCTAGGAGGGGTGGGGTAGTTGTAAAGATCCTCGGGAAACCACTGTAAATATCTGCTCATTTTGCACTCTGCATTTGTTGCTCTCTCAAGATTTTTGTCTTCCAGCTAGAAATAATTGGCCATGTTCTGTCCTGGGGCCTGGAAGGGATGCCCCAGGCACTGGCATAAGCAGAGTTTTGTCCTCCTTTGTAGCCTTCTAGTTTGAAATTAAATGACCAGTAACTTCCAGATAAATGCAGTGAGTGAAGAAGCACAATATGCTTCGTGTACTTGGGAAAGACAAGAATTGCCATACGAGCCCTGTTTGACAGCTCTCCGTAGGCAGTGTCTCTGCTATGCATGCTTTCCACAGAGCTTTAAATTAAGTACTGAGGAGCCTCCTAAGAAGTGTGGAACCCTGACTCCTCTGAAATTTCAGAGTTTAAGTGGAGTTAGAAGTTCCTCCATAATGTTCTAAGAAACAAGAGGAGATGCCCCTGAAAATAGAGAGGAAAGAATCATTCAGCAGCCAGTTTGGGACTGGATTTTACGTGGTGGGACAGACCCGGTATTACCCGAGGACAATGTAGGTGCAGTAAGAGTACTGCATCTGCAACCATGCAAACCCAGTTGTAGGACTGGGGATATCCAGAGAGGTGGTTTTTCATTTGGCTGCTAGGAGTACGTTTGGTTCGGGCATTAGAAAAAAAGCAGGTTATTTTAATTGAAAGACAGTTATAGTTTAAGGAAATGGATTAGGGGTCCAGTCCTGTAGGAAGGGCCAGCCTCTGTGTAAATGTTTTGGAACTGGCTTGCTTTTGCTGTAACAAACACAGTCGTTACAGATGTGACTCTGCAAACTCTTGTCCATTGCAAATTGACATTGGTTTGCTGAAGTCAATATTGCTGTTTTCTTTGATAGGCTCTATGATACTGAGTAAGTGTGTTCGGGAATGCAGCTCAGATTTTTAATTTTCAAGAAAAATTTCCCTTTTTAATTTAAATTACTGGTTTACTCAGTTGATTATTGTTTTACTCTGTTGCTGAATATTGAAATTAAATGTTAAGATGTGGTTATCTTCATTGTTCTAGCTGGTATAGTTATCATGTGGGCATTTAATCTCCAACAAATGTGTAAAGAAAATACTGTGATACCATTATATCCAGCTTCCCAATGTTGCTTCAATTATTGCAGCTGTCTTACTTTGCACTGCAGTATGCAATAATTCCTTTTAATTAAAAATATTCCCTCTCAGGTCATTCCCGTTTAGTCCCGCAGGCTATTTCACAGAAATCAGTAGCTTCACCTTTTAAAAGCATTCTCGATGCCTTTGCAAAGTGCAACAGAATTTATGTGCTGAGAATTGTTTCATTCTTCAGTTAGGCTTTAAGTTTGACCCTATAAAAACATTTACTCAGGAAAGGACCAAAATTTCTCCCTTTAAATACTTCAGGAAAAACATAACTGTTTTGTTAAATAAACTTGGCCATTTGATAGCGTAAATTAGGGTGGTGATAAAATGTGGAAATTGTTTGAAAGCATCTTGTATAAATTATCACCTTGGCTACACTCCTCCAGGAGGTGGCTTTTATCTCCGCTTTAACTAGAAACGAAAATTCACCATTGCTGCAGAAAATGAAGGCTATATTTTTAGTCCAGGTTCAGCTAATGAATACTTTATAACTGTTTCCTGAAATACATTTGTGATCCTGCTGGAAGTGCAGTGGGGAAGAAGCAGTATCAGAAAAAAATATTGGTAGCTTCAAATTGGGCTATTTGCATAATTTGAGTTTACAGAGTGCTGCTGCTGAAAGGCAAGCGCTTGTATTTGATGCGTGCCTGATGCTGAAACTTAACAGGCTTTTGGGGCTCAGCAGCCAAAAAGAACAGCAAGATTATACCTCTGAGGTGCATTCGTCATAAAATTGTGTCAGAAAACAAATGAGCCTTTACCTTCAGGAAATAAGATATTCTTCTAAATACTGTCTGCCATGATTGTCTACCCAGTTATTTCTGTTTTGTCACAACTCTGTTAAAGTAAAATTACAGAAGATTTTTCGTTTCTGAAGGCATTTTCTCAGCACATAATAACCAAGAGACAACATCGCTTTATACACTTTAGTAGCAAAAGAGCTGTACACCCATGCCTTGCTTGTGTTGTACGCGTGATTTTCCAGCTTATCGGTAATGACTGGGAATCCTGTTTTATTGGAAGTAGTCAGTGGATCACCTTTGCTCTAGGCAGACGTAGATCATCCCTCTGGCAGTTAGAGCAGTTGCAAGGAAACATCATACTAGGAGAAGATTTAACATCATTTTAGCCAAGTCTCCCCCCTCAAACAACCCTCCCAGAAAGACCAAAACTATTGAAATGGAGAGCCCGATTTGTGGAATTGGGAAAGTCTTTGTGTGCTGACAGCCCAGTGGCTGCAGATCACAATGATCTTGTGGATAAGGATGTAGGGCTCTTTTCTAAAAAGCAAAATCAAATTAAAAATCATCCTGAAATGTTATTAATTTTTGTATGTTTCTGAGGTGAAGTATCCAGAGATGTGTGACAAAATACAGCTTGCTTTCATGACACCATTAATGTTTTTGTTCTAAATAGAATGGGACTGGAAGCTCTGGTAGAGTCTTATGCCTTCTGGAGACCTTCACTGAGGACACTTACATTTGAAGATATACCTGGAATACCCAAACAAGGTAATATTCTTCTTTGTGTTCTTGCAAAACAAATGCTTATGAAGATAAAGCTTTGTGCATCATGCTTTACAGATGTCTAGCTAAGTGTCACCTGTAGAGAAAAAGCAACCAACCAACCCCAGTGCAGGCCATCACCTCTCATCAGAGTTGTTCTAAGTTAGAAAACTAATGCTGACTTGATCACTGTGGCAATAAAAATGTAGGTTGTAATGACAAATCGGATCACGTATGGAGGAGAATGCCAGTTATTTAAGGGTGGAATAACCTATTCTTTAGTGTTATGCTCCGGCTAGATAAACGAGGTGGAAATCATTTATAGATGACTTCCGGTGTACACATCCAAACTCCAATGTAGGAATTATTTGTATGTTTAAGAGGGGGGAAAAAAAAAGGAATGAGAGAATAAATGTCCTCCTAAATAATAAATAAATAGTATCAAGCTTAATTAGGTTTCTTCCTTGGAAAACCTTTTTAATTCTTGAAGACCTAAAAATTGTTCAGCTGAAGTCCCAACACACTTTATCTACATCCTAGACCTTGAAAAAATCGACCTCTTCTCCATCATGCGTTTTCCTGCTCCCCAGTCCATAACTTCTTGGTTTCCACTTTCCCTGTCATACAGGTACTGCGGTGGGGAGAGAGATATTTAAATGGCCTGTTTGGACGGAGAGGGTCTTCTCCGTACTCTTTTCTGAGTTCCTGTATTTCCAAAGTACCTCAATGTATGTAGAAAACCTCTCAGCCTTTTCCCAATTAAATCAGACATATTGCTTACAATTTTTCACATTTCCTGCTACCAAATTTACAAACATACTTCCTGCTTTCTTGAAGTATTACAAAGTCATTAAGCATCTTCAGAGCAAAAAAACAGAAAAAATGGAAATACACAGAAGTCACTTCTGTTAACTTCTCTTCAGCCCACTCCTTTGAGAAATCTTGAGCACCAGTGCTTGATGTGGGCAATTAAAAAGGAGGTTTTGTGCCAAGTCACAGATATATTGGATGAGGGTTGGCAGAATTTTGGGCAGAGGATGGGGGTGGGGGGGTCTGTCCTCTTAAAAAGGGCTGTGATAAGAAGCCAGCATCAGACCTGAAGTACCTTGTCCTACTGTGTAAGACTGAAAGGCAACTCACTATAAAGCTAAAACGCCCAGGATGCAGGCCAACTGTATTGCCCTGTTTGTATGTAGCAGCCCTGTTTGAGAGCAGGGGAGCTGCTGCTATGAGCTTCCCGCTTCCTTTTCTGCTGCTGCAGGTTGAGGATCTTGTCCAAGTTACTGATGGTGTTCACAGAATGGGAACAGGGATTCTTGGAAAATCTTTAGTCAACTGTACCTGGGCCGGTAGGGTGGTTTAGAGACTTGCTGAAAGACTCCCTTAAGCATTTTGTGTCGCTTGTTAATTCTGGAAGTGCCCACCTTTGGATAGCAGAGGTGTTGACAGAGATTGGAAGAAAAATAAGTATGCCTTACACTAGAATTTCTTGAATGTGGCAGTGCCTCATGGTGCTTTGTACCTGTTTTGGCCCCACAACAGACCAAGAAGCATCAGGCAGAGTTCAGTGATAATGTATTTTTCTTTTTACTAGCTCACCTGTCATGAAAATCTGTTAACTTACTGACAGCATGTACCTCTTAGCAGCATCAAGCTCTTTGATAGTTAACATGATTCACAAACAGGAGAGTCCTGCGTGTTAAGTGCCTTCCGCCTGGGAGACCGTGAAAGGCCCAAATCAATTTTGCTATGCTAGCTTTTCAGGGAGATAAATACAATCTCTAAGAAAAGGAAGTGTTTTACAGCTGGGAAACTTTCAGTCCTGAGAAAAGGCTTCACCTGTAGCAAGCAGCGTGTTTTCAGGAGCATTCAGCACTGGTGTTTGCCATGTAAAAAGTTCTGATATCAGTAAATGAAGTTTGCGAACAGCTTGCTGCAAGCCTAAACCTCCACCTACCCGTTCAAGAAATGAAGCAGCCGTGCAGAGTGCTCAGCCTACGCTTTTCCCGAAGTTGTTCTGAAGTTTTGTTCTCAAGTTTTTTGGTCTGGACTTGGAAAATCTTTGTTCTGAAGTTGTGGACTTTCCTGAAGCTGTCGAACTGTGCTAAGGAGTCGGTTCCTTAGCTGGAGCTCTGACAGTGACAGTGAGTCAGGCATGGAGCACTTGAAACACACTCTGGGGTGTAGTAACAGCATAGACAATACAAAATCCGTAACTTTAAAGAAGGCTTCCTGCGATGTGGTACTTGCCTGGCTACATCTTTGCTGCCGTGCAGCTTGCTTCCCGTGTCAAAGAAAGAGCAGGTAACCTTTTGGGCAGGAGCTCCAAGTGCTGAGTGATGGCTGCAAAAGCATAACTTCTGTTCTCTTTCTTGGACAGGTTGTTTCTTTAAAAATACGCATGTGCCACACACACACATCCCCCTGCACATGTATGCACATGTCATCTTTTGAATGAATTTGTGTCGTGTCAAGGGTTATTATAAAAGACAAAGATCTTGATCTGTCACCTAGGGAGTGAACCTCTCCCAGCACTCTTCTTACAGTGTAATATTCTCTTGCAGGAAATGCAGGTTCCTCTACTTTACTCCAGGGGTCTGGCAGTGGAGTGCCATCTACCCACCCTCACCTTTTACCGGGTTCCCCTTGCTCCTCTCCAGCCTTCCACCTCAGTCCCAACACTAGCCAGCTCTGTAGCCTTGCTCCAGCTGACTACACGGCTTGTGCCCGCTCAGGCTTGACCCTGAACAGATACAGCACGTCTTTGGCCGAGACCTACAACAGGCTCACAAACCAAACCAGTGAGACGTTCGCACCCCCGAGGACTCCCTCCTATGTTGGTGTGTCGAGTAGCACGACTGTGAATATGTCGATGAGTGGCAATGACGGGGATGCATTCAGCTGCCCACAGACTGGCTTATCCATGCAGATTTCAGGGATGTCTCCGCAGCTCCAGTACATCATGCCATCCCCGTCCAGCAATGCCTTTACCACTAATCAAACCCACCAAGGCTCCTACAACACGTTCAGGCTGCACAGTCCCTGTGCACTCTATGGATATAACTTCTCCACATCCCCTAAACTGGCTGCCAGTCCTGAGAAAATTGTTTCTTCCCAAGGAAGTTTCTTGGGGTCCTCGCCAAGTGGAACCATGACGGATCGGCAGATGTTGCCCCCCGTGGAAGGAGTGCACTTACTTAGCAGTGGGGGGCAGCAGAATTTCTTTGACTCTAGGACCCTAGGAAGCTTAACACTCTCGTCTTCTCAAGTGTCTGCACATATGGTTTGATGAAGCCTTTAAGTAAAAGTACAGTATGTTTGGTGTCTACAATGTATTTCTTTTGGAATATGAAAGGACACTCGATGTATCTTGTAAAGTGTGTGTATATATAATATGAGAGGAAGTTTCACTGAATTTTTGACTTGCTTGTGGCCAGATTATTCTCCTATTTTGAGTTACACAGAGTTTGTTGCTGTGCAGGCTGCTTTAGTTTTCTGGTATAATATACTTAGTTGTATAACACGTTGGGACATATGCAACAAATTAAGACTTCCTCCCCTTTCCCCCTCCTCTGTTCTAACCCCTTTAAAGAATGAAACGACACGTGGAGTATTAAACAACACAAACAAACCTACTTACATTTCCTATAGTACTAGTGAGTTTCTTTAAAACATTCATACAATGATAAGCTGATGCACCAAAGGCATTTTACAAGTTTCTTCTCTGTTATAAGGGATATGAAGGGTATTTGGACTTTTAAGTGTTAAGCATCACGCATCCAGCCTAAAAAAGAGGTTTAGCCAATGGATTATTTACAAAGTAAACGGAAAGATTAGTTTGCCTTCTCACGATATGCTGTTTTTAGCTTATCAATGGCACAGCATTCTTACTAGGATTTATTTTCTTCAGCATTAGTCTAGATTTATGTTTAGGCATTTGAAGACAAATAATGCATATTCATATTGTGGTGATAAGAGTAATTTAAACCAACAGCAGAAGAAGTGGCATTCCTTGGTACAGAATGAACTTTGGGGTGCTTCATTTTTGTCAAAGGAAGGGCTCGATGCATTTTTTCCTCCATAAATATTGCCTATAAGACATGTACTGGACAGTAGGATATTCTAATGTATCTATGTTTTTGTATTTTTACTTTTTTAAAGGAAAATGCAGGTTTGATTTAGGGAAAAAAAAAGAGCAGGATGAGAAATTCCATTATTGATTTTACCCTTTTGTGTGTGTGTGTTGGGTTTTGGGTTTGGTTCTTTTTTTTTTTTTATATTAGGGGCAAAAAGTCCTCCATCCTCAGTATCTCATAAAGACATTGCCTGTAGCAACTAAGCCTTAGACAACCCAGTTTGCCTGCAAGTGTTGCAGGAAGTGGAACTTTGTCGTAGGTGCCTCCCTGTAACACGGCCAAACTGGGACCAGGATTACAATAGGAAAAATTCCTTTAATAGTTTACTTCGAGTGCTCCAGCATGACACCTATAGCCCATGTCCCTCCCTCCAGGGAGCCATCTGTCTTCCTCTTACTCCGTTCTGTCATGAGGTTACTGCTGCTCTGTTTCTCAGTCAGTTTTTTTTCCCTGGATTTAGAGAGGTTCCCTTCCTTTGCAGCTCTGGTTTTAACCGGCGCTTTTGAGAACACAGATCACAGCCTGCTACTGATGAGGCTTCTCCAGAGTGACAAGGACACGGGGAGATGCTTGTGGTGAAATTTCTGCCGCTATCTGCACCTGCACAGCCCCGGTGCGCATCAGCCCTGCTGTGAAAACTGCCTCTCAGCTGCCCGCCTGTCGGAGCTGAGGCATGGATGTTGTAGAGCAGCTTTTAATGCTTGAGAGAGTGAGTCGTCTTCAACAGTACACTAAACCTCCTTTATGTTGTGCAGGTGATGTAAAGGCATTATAAAGTGGGTACAAACATAGCTGAAAATGCTTCCCTGGTCAGCATTGAGGAGAGTAAGGCCTTTCAGATTTTACATTTTTCTCTGTTAGATTTTTCAGTGAAGGTGGATTGATGTGTTTCTCAAGAGTTGCCACACCTTTTCTGGCAGACAGTGGGCTTAACGGCTCCCGCTTCAGGAAAGACTCATTGCAGCTAGTATTTCTTCAGTGGGTTGGAGATACTGCATGCAGAAACAGCCCTTGCACTGTCTCTTAGTATTTGGGAATAGAAGGGAAACCACAGCAGTCTTTAAGCCTGTGCCTGGAGAAGGCTTTATTTCTCCTAGTTATATATTTGTTTGTGTTAAAGGACACACGCAGAAGGTTCTCATTCAAAGCTGGCAAGACAAGAGGATGAGCCTGCAGTAGGTGAGATGTGGGTTTGCTTCTTTGCTGTTGCAAACTTCCCAAGTGACCTTTGGCAATTCACTCAGCCTTTCTATATATAGTTTTTTTTTCTTCTGTTAAATGTGGTAATAGCACTTCTCTGCCTCACAGTAAATGGTGACAGTACATTAAAGATGAGAATTATCTTTACATCTACTGTACTGTGGACAGTACTTTACAGATGAATAGCTAGGTAGTGTTGCTATATGAGGATAAAAAAGAGCTTTTGTGTACTTTGGGTCTGTCACGAGTTTTGGCATTGCAATGTCCTTTGAGGCAGACCTCCTAGCAAAGACCTGCAATGCTAAGAACAGTGTTCAAAAACCTCACACTAAGAATTTGTGAAATGGTTCTAAGACGTGTGGAAGACGGGCAGATTTTCTGTTCTGTAAGTTGTCATAGCTTTATTGGTTTAAAGAAATGTTTCACTTGGAAAAATCTTTAAATGAGAAAAATGATACGGTTAATCTGTACTTGAAAAAGATTAAAGATAATTATCCATGTCATCTTAAAGGCCGTGACTAGGTAGAAATGTGGAAGAGCTAAATCATGCGTGTTCCTACAAGGGGGGAAAAAAAAATTGAGCATGGGTGTTCATGGAGGTGCTCCTGGCAAGAGTATGTACTTTATCATCTGGGAATTTTTTAGAACCGGTCTCTTATTTTTCCTCAAATCATACTTATCATATAACCACACAATATTGTTTGAAACATTTGTTCCTTAAAATCTGAATCATATTGTAAATACTTACTGGTGTGTCATTGTGAAAAGACTAGCTTTTTATCAATATAGTAAATGCTATATATGCATTATATCTCTAATTATATATCTGTATTTTACAAAAATGCCACAGAAAATATATTAAAGTGTGTATTCAAACACTTTTTACTACATTTGGAAAATTGAGGGGCTTGGGACTTTTTTCTTCCTCTACAACTCCAGCAAGACCAAAGGAAGTAACTCTAAGGTAAGGTCTGAAATTCAAAGACTTAATACAACAAGCTGCAACGTTCCAAATACTCCAAAATTCTTACATGGTTCAGCTTAATCATTTGCTGCTG